AAGAATTCTTTTGAAAAAATTAAATTAAAAAAATGTTTTTTTTTAATTAATAATTTTATAGATTTATTTATAGAAAACTATAAAAAGAATTGCAATAATAATAATAATAATAATAATAATAATAATAATAATAAAAACAATAATAATAATAATAATAAAAATAATAATAATAAAAACAATAATAATAATAATAATAATAATAAATATCAATAATAATTATAGTAATAATTATTAATAATTATATTAACAGTGATTATAATAATTATAATAATTTTAATAATAATAATAATATTAATATAGATAATTATAATGAAAATTATAATAATAAAAAAAAAACTAATAATAATTTTCATATCACCGTATTTTTATATTTAGCTCGTAACAAATATTGATTATAAGTTACGTGGTAAAAAATTATTAGCGTTTATAATTAATATTAATAATTAATTTTGTTTCATATTTTTTTTTTTTTGCTAATTTATTATTTAGTTTTTAAAATAAGATTGAAACTTTTTTTTTTGTCAGTCAATAAACTGTTATTATTTAATTTTGTTTTAATTTTTAAAAGAATTTTGTTTTAATTTAAAAAAAATTTTTTTCAATTTACAAACAAATTTTTTTTCAAATTTGAAAAATATTTTATTTAATTTAAAACAAAATTTCTTTTAATACAAAAATTTTTAATTTTTAAAAAATTTTGTTTTAATTTAAAAAAAAAATTTTTTAATTTAAAAACAAATTTTTTTTTAAATTTGAAAAATATTTTTTTTAATTTAAAACAAAATTTCTTTTAATATACAAAAATTTTTAATTTTAAAACAAATTTATTTAATAAAAATATTTTTTAATTTAAAACAAAATTTCTTTTAATATAAAAAATTTTTAATTCAAAACAAATTTTTTTAATAAAAAAATTTTTAATTTTAAAACAAATTTTTTTAATAAAAAAATTTTTAATTTTAAAACAAATTTTTAATTTAAAGCAAATTTTTTTTTTTAATTTGAAAAAAAGTTTTTAATTCAAAATAAATTTTATTTTTTTAATTGATGGAAAGGGGCAAAAGCTCCGAGTGATGGATTTTAACGAAAAATTTGAGAATTATGAAAAATAAAAAAAAAAATAAAATAAAAATAAAAAAATAAGAGCGGAAGGATCGCGTGATAGGTGGTTTGCTGCTAAGCAAAGCGCAACGTACACCTCGTCACATAGAGAGAGGGAGAGAGAGAGAGAGAGACCATGAAGGAAAAATGCAAATTCGCACAACACGGCCCTTGACTCACGGACACGACAGCCAACAATAACTCGTCTCTATTAATTTTTTTTTCCTCTTTTTTTTCTAAAGCCAGATTCAAAGATTATATACGACCTTAAGTTCAAGAATATTTAGACATAAGCTCACTTTTTTTTTTTTTTTTTTTTTTTTTTTCTCCCCTATTTTGTTAAAGCTTATATACGGTCATGTCCCAATTTTAAATAAAAAACAATAAATAAAAAAATTAAATAAATTTAAAAAAAAAAATTTGCGAAAAAAAATTTTAATAAATAATTTTTTTTTGATAAATAAATAAAAATTAAAAAAATAAAGAAAGAAAGAATAAAATTTAAATAAAGAAAAATTTATAAAAAATTGAAAAATAAAAAATTAATTTTATTTTAAATCAAAAATTAAAGACTTTCAGAAAAAAAAATCCATTCAAATGACATGAAGTTAGGTACACGCGGCTTATATTATAAAAGAGCCATGAAAAAAAAAAGATTCATTCTCAATCTCTCGTTGAAAAAAATTTTTTTTTTTCTTTTTCCCTCTCGTCTGTGCGATTTTTTTTTTTTTTTAATTGAAAAAAAGGAAACCATACCAAAAAATGTATTTTTTAATTACTAGCGATACGGTCCTTTATTATTTTTTTTCGTTCCACTGCTTTTTAATTAAAATTACTTCTTCAATCGAAAAATGTCAAGTGTTGTTCAATAGTTTATACTAAAAAAAAAAAGGGAAAAAATAAAAAAATTCTAAAAGAAAAATTTTAATTAGAGTTTCAAAAAAAAAGAAAGAAAAATAAATAAAAAATTGTCTCGCGTGTAATATGAGATTATAGGAATACAGGAAAAAACAACATCAATTACATATGTGTCATATTAGACATTGGAATTAGTAACTTCAATTAATGTATTTTCCCCCAGGTGAATTAATTTTTTTTAATTTTTCGAGTTGGAAAAATATTATAATTACTCGCAATAAATAGTGGAGTGTATAAAAGAAGAAAAAAAATTTTTTTTTTTTTAATAAATAAATTTACTTTACCGAATTTTTATTTAAGAAAATTTTGTCGTTTTTGAAATTATTTATTTGAAAATAATTTTAATTTACCTGAATTTAAAAATTTTTTTAACTAAATACAGTAATTAATAATTAAATGTTAATTATTATTATAATATTATTAAATATAAATAAATAATTAATTAATAATTACATATTAATTGTAATAATTTGTCCTTTTCCTTCTCCTTAGGGAGAGGGATCTCCATCTTCTTCTCCTTCGGGAGAGGGAGCAGGATCTCTTTTTCCTTCTCCTTAAGGAGAGGGAAAAGGATTTCCCTTTCCTTCTCCTTTGGGAGAGGGAAAAGGATTTCCCTTTCCTTCTCCTTTAGGAGAGGGAAAAGGATTTCCCTTTCCTTCTCCTTTGGGAGAGGGAGAAGGATCTCCTTTTGCTTCTCCATAAGGAGAGGGAGAAGGATTTCCCTTTCCTTCTCCTTAGGGAGAGGGAGAAGGATTTCCCTTTCCTTCTCCTTAGGGAGAGGGAGAAGAATCTCCTTCTCCTTCTCCTTAGGATGAGGGATTTCCATCTCTTTCTCCTTCGGGAGAAGGATCTCCTTTTCCTTCTCCTTAAGGAGAGGTATAAGGATTTCCCTTTCCTTCTCCTTAGGGAGAGGGAGAAGGATCTCCTTTTCCTTCTCCTTAGGAAGAGGGAGAAGGATCTCCTTCTCCTCAGGGAGAGGGAGAAGGATCTCCTTTTCCTTCTCCTTAGGATGAGGGATTTCCATCTCTTTCTCCTTCGGGAGAAGGATCTCCTTTTCCTTCTCCTTAAGGAGAGGTATAAGGATTTCCCTTTCCTTCTCCTTAGGAAGAGGGAGAAGGATCTCCTTCTCCTTCTCCTCAGGGAGAGGGAGAAGGATCTCCTTTTCCTTCTCCTTAGGATGAGGGATTTCCATCTCTTTCTCCTTCGGGAGAAGGATCTCCTTTTCCTTCTCCTTAAGGAGAGGGATAAGGATTTCCCTTTCCTTCTCCTTAGGGAGAGGGAGAAGGATCTCCTTCTCCTTCACCTCAGGGAGAGGGAGAAGGATCTCCTTTTCCTTCTCCTTAGGAAGAGGGATTTCCATCTCTTTCTCCTTCGGGAGAAGGATCTCCTTTTCCTTCTCCTTAAGGAGAGGTATAAGGATTTCCCTTTCCTTCTCCTTAGGAAGAGGGAGAAGGATCTCCTTCTCCTTCACCTCAGGGAGAGGGAGAAGGATCTCCTTTTCCTTCTCCTTAGGAAGAGGGATTTCCATCTCTTTCTCCTTTGGGAGAAGGATCTCCTTTTCCTTCTCCTTAAGGAGAGGTATAAGGATTTCCCTTTCCTTCTCCTTAGGAAGAGGGAGAAGGATCTCCTTCTCCTTCTCCTCAGGGAGAGGGAGAAGGATCTCCTTTTCCTTCTCCTTAGGATGAGGGATTTCCATCTCTTTCTCCTTCGGGAGAAGGATCTCCTTTTCCTTCTCCTTAAGGAGAGGTATAAGGATTTCCCTTTCCTTCTCCTTAGGGAGAGGGAGAAGGATCTCCTTTTCCTTCTCCTTAGGAAGAGGGATTTCCATCTCTTTCTCCTTCGGGAGAAGGATCTCCTTTTCCTTCTCCTTAAGGAGAGGTATAAGGATTTCCCTTTCCTTCTCCTTAGGAAGAGGGAGAAGGATCTCCTTCTCCTTCTCCTCAGGGAGAGGGAGAAGGATCTCCTTTTCCTTCTCCTTAGGATGAGGGATTTCCATCTCTTTCTCCTTCGGGAGAAGGATCTCCTTTTCCTTCTCCTTAAGGAGAGGGATAAGGATTTCCCTTTCCTTCTCCTTAGGGAGAGGGAGAAGGATCTCCTTCTCCTTCACCTCAGGGAGAGGGAGAAGGATCTCCTTTTCCTTCTCCTTAGGAAGAGGGATTTCCATCTCTTTCTCCTTCGGGAGAAGGATCTCCTTTTCCTTCTCCTTAAGGAGAGGTATAAGGATTTCCCTTTCCTTCTCCTTAGGAAGAGGGAGAAGGATCTCCTTCTCCTTCACCTCAGGGAGAGGGAGAAGGATCTCCTTTTCCTTCTCCTTAGGATGAGGGATTTCCATCTCTTTCTCCTTCGGGAGAAGGATCTCCTTCTCCTTAAGGAGAGGGATAAGGATTTCCCTTTCCTTCTCCTTAGGGAGAGGGAGAAGGATCTCCTTCACCTCAGGGAGAGGGAGAAGGATCTCCTTTTCCTTCTCCTTAGAAAGAGGGATTTCCATCTCTTTCTCCTTCGGGAGAAGGATCTCCTTTTCGTTGGGGAGAAAGGTCTCCTTTTCTTTAGGGAAAGGGATCTCCTTCGGGAGATAGTTCGCCGTTTCCTTCTCCTTAGGGAGAGGGATTCCTCTTCCTAAGGAGAAGAAAAAGGAGATCCTTCTCTCGAAAAAGAAGGAGATCCCTCTCCCTAAGGAGAAGAAAAAGGAGATCCTTCTCCTGAAGGAAATAAAGATCCCTTTCCCTAAGGAGATGGAAACGGCGAACGGTCTGCCGAAGGAGAAGAAGAGGGAGCTCCTTTACCCGAAGGAGAGGTTAAAGGACCCTTTTTCTCCTCCTTAAGTAAAGAAAAAACACCACCCTTCTTACTTTTGAGAAAAAAAAATTTCTTAATCAAATATTAATTAATAATTAAATTTTTAGTTTCACCCTTTTAAAATTCCGGAAAAATTCTAACGAAAAAAAGAATGAATTTTTTTTTACTGAATGATAAATCCTCACCTCATGAACAATTTCTTTGACCATTTCGGTGAAGGAGGACGACTTGAGGCACGTTTCGGTGGTTGTTGTGGTTGTATTTGTGGTGATGGCGATGATGGTGGTTGGTTGGATGCGTGTCGATGGTGGTGGAACATCAGATGTTAATTCCTGATAGCATGACTCGCCGGAACCCCTACGGCTACCGGCGATACACATTGCTCTCCTAAATAGTCCCGCTACAACGGAACATAAACCGCATTGCATGCTGGTCGCACTTCCACGACTTGACAATGAGCCTCCATTCGGCCTTCGACGGGGCCGAGTCCCACGGGAAACCTTATCACGTGTCTTCGACGCCAGTTTTGCGTCTCTTGCAATTCTATAGCCTCTTTTTCTTTTTACTTCGTTGCTTTCCAACTTCCACTTCCTTTGATGATAAATGTTTTTTTGAAGAAAAAAAATACTTCTTTTTTATCTTATCTCCTTTTCCCTAGGGTAAAGGAAATTCTTCTCCTTCTCCTTGGGGAGAGGAAATTTCGTCTTCTTCTTTTTAGGGAAAGGGATCTCCTTCTCCCGAAGGAGAGGGAGATCCATTTGGCCTAAAGAGAGAGATCTCCTTCTCCCGAAGGAGAGGGAGACACTTTTTCCTAAGGAGAGGGATCTCCTTTTCCTTAGGGAGAGGAATTTCCTTCTGCCTCTCCTTCGGGAGAAGGAGATCCCTTTCCCTAAGGAGAAGGAGACGGAATTTTCTTAGGAAGAGGAAATTCCATTTCCTTCTCCCTCTCCTTCGAGAGAAGGAGATCCCTTTTCCTAAGGAGAAGGAGACGAAATTTCCTCACCGACTCTTTTTCCTGAGGGAAAGGGATCTCCTTCTCCCGAAGGAGAGGGAGAAGGAAATAGAATTTCCTCTTCCTAGGAAAATTCCGTTTCCTTATCCTTAGGGAAAGGGATCTCCTTCTCCCGAAGGAGAGGGAGACACTTTTTCCTAAGGAGAGGGATCTCCTTTTTCTTAGGGAGAGAAATTTCCATCTCCTTCTCCTCCTCCTGAGGGAAAAGGATCTCCTTCTTCTAAGGGAGAGGGAATTTCTTCTCCTTAGGGAGAGAAATTTCCATCTCCTCTTCCCTCTCCTTCGAGAGGAGATCCCATTTCCTAATGAGAAGGAGACGGAATTTCCTCACCGTCTCCTTCTCCTTAGGGAAAGGGATATCCCGAAGGAGAGGGAGAAGGAAATGGAATTTCCTCTTCCTAAGAAAATTCCGTCTCCTTCTCCTTAGGGAAAGGGATCTCCTTCTCCCGAAGGAGAGGGAGAAGGAAATGGAATTTCCTCTTCCTAAGAAAATTCCGTCTCTTTCTCCTTAGGGAAAGGGATCTCCTTCTCCCGAAGGAGAGGGAGAAGGAAATGTAATTTCCTCTTCCTAAGAAGAAAGAGACGGATTTTCCTCTCTTATAGGAGAAGGAGATGAAAATTCATCTCCCTAAGGTGAAGGAGATCCCTCTCCTTAGGGGAAAAGAAGCTCCCTCTCCCTAGGGAGAAGGAGATAAGGAGAAAAAAATATCTTTTCCTTGGGGACAGGGATCTCCTTTACCCAAAGGAAAGGGATCTCCTTCTCCTTAGGGAGAGGGAGCTCATTTTCCCGAAGGAAAGGGATCTTCCTCTCCCCAAGGAGAAGAAAACACTCAAGTCACAAAAAGTTTATGATTCCTTATGATTGAAACATATATGTCAAGGACAACAATAAATAAGCATTGCTTTTCAAAGGTTCTTTAAAATCGACGTATATAATTATTAGGACCTAACTAAAGGAAACTTTTCAAGGATTTTTCGAATCTTTCACCCCTGCCTTACGATAACAATTTCGAAAAAGATGAGATTTGATTAAAGTTTTCTTATCAAAAAAAGGAGAAAATCGATGAATTACTTTTCAAGAAAATCCTTCGAAGGGATATTTCTCCCCTTAAGAACGGAAATAAGGGGGTATAATCTTGAAGGCAAAAAGAAAAAAAAAAGGGGGAACACATAATCACCGATAATAATGATAAATTTCACATTAATCAGAGTGTTTTTAGAGAGACTTCCCTAACCTGGACAAGAAATACTAACGGGTTCATCGTCCCTTGGACATTTATATATATATAGTGGGCAATGGATCTTCTTTTTCTCATGGACCATAAACTTTAAGTGACTCTTGTCATTTTTTCTATTTTGGACTACCAAATTTTAACTCACCACTTTTTTCCAATTTTTGCCTCTTGTACCACTTTCTTTTTATTCACCTCCTTCTCCTCTTCCTCCTTTACCTCTTGCTTTATTATCGTCGTCTTGACTTTCGCAATTTTTCTCTTTTTTTTCTATTTTATTTTTTCTTCTCTATTTCCTCTGTCTTCTTTTTTTTTATTTTTTCTTCCTTTTTATTTCCTTTCTTTCCTTTTTATTTCCTTTCTTCTTTTTTTTATTTTCTTTCCTCCTTTCTTTCTTTCTTTCTTCTTTTTTCTTTCAAACTCCTTTCTATTTTTTGCTTCTATCACAAAAAAATTATATCAGACACTGTAAAAAATTTCCATTCCAACACTTGTCACATAATTTTTTTTTTTTTTTTTTTGCATTATATAATTGATGTCACTTTTAGAGTTTTTGCACATTTACTTATAGACACAACAATAAATCCAGCCCGCACCAAAAACTATATCAATCAAGTTATGCATCGACGCCTACCTTGACAATCACTGCCAAAATATCTCTGCAAAACAAACATTTCCTTCAGGGACGTGTCTAACAAAGAAAAAAAAAAAAAAAAAAGAAAAAAAAATTCTGTCTCTCTCTTTTTGTAATTGTCATTTTTGAAACGTTTGCCAAAAAAAAAAAAAACCGCAAATTAAAATACTTCCTCTATATGAGGGAGCAAAACAAAACTAAAATTCACTATTTTTTTTTTTTTGATTTTGAATTGAGAATAATTTTTCTAATCAATTATAGTAATAATAATAATAATAACAAAAATAACAAAAATAATAATATGTAATAATAATAAAAATAATAATAATAATAACTAAAATAATAATATGTAATAATAATAAAAATAATAATAATAATAATAATAATAATAATAATAACAAAAATAATAATAATAATAATAACAAAAATAACAAAAATAATAATATGTAATAATAATAAAAATAATAATAATAATAAAATAATAATAATAATAATAATAATAATAATAATAATAATAATAATAATAATAGAAATAATATTAAAAAAATAATAATTCGATGTGCCGATAATTATGATGAGAAAAAGAAGAAGAAGAAGAAGAAGAAGAAGAAGAAGAAGACGTGACTGGAATAATAATAGATTATTATTGATGATTAAATTGCGCATTGAAACAATTGATTTTTGTAAACAAACAAAAAAAAATTTTACAAAGTAGACGATTTGTAAAATTGAAAAAAAAAAAATTTTCTGATAAAAATTTTCCGTCCTTGGACTTGTAGAAAATAAATTTGAAAAAAAAAATATATATATATATATATGTTGTCCTGATTATAATAAATCTATTCAAAAGTTTATAGCTTGTTTTCAATATATATATATATATATATATATATATATAACTATATAAAGACTTCTTCTCTCTTGTTCGCGGGACCAATTACTGAAGACTTACTGCATCAGCAATATGCAAGTGGAGATGCAATTTGAATCCATACATTCAACAATGTACTTAATGCGACCTAATTTGTACCCATTGTTCCATGTTTCTGTCCATTGCCGATTCAGTTTCGTATACATATATATATATACTATATACATGGGTCATTCCATGTAAAATTTTTATTAAAAAAAAAAAAATTTTTTCTCGAAATGAGGGTGTCTAATAACTTTTCCCTGACCGTTAGACAACTTGGAAATTTTTACGAAAAATAAGAAAACACTTCCTTTCTTTTCCGAAATTTTTATGGAAAATAAGAAAATAATAATTTTTTTTCCGAAATTTTTATGGAAAATAAGAAAATAATTTTTTTTCCGAAATTTTTATGGAAAATAAGAAAATAATAATTTTTTTTCCGAAATTTTTATGAAAAATAAGAAAATAATAATTTTTTTTTTTATTTCTTTATTTTTGATAACAATTTTTTTTTTATTATTCAATGAAAATTTCTCGAAAAAAAATATTCTAGTCAAAAAAAATAATTTTTTCAATAAAAATTTTATATGGATTGCCCCATATATATGGGGTAAAATTTCTCAAGTGATCCAAATATAGCAAAAAAAAAAAAAAAAAATGTGAATTTTTTTTTTTGAAAAATCTTTTCTATTTGTATAAAAAGAAATTTAACCTTTGTACTTTTGAAAGGTTTTTTTTTTCTAATTTTTCAAATTTCCTAAACATTTTTAAAAAAAAAATCAAAGTTTACTCCCTTTTTGGAATTTTTTAAACTTCTTGAAATTTGGAATTTTTTTAAAATACTTCCGTTTTATATTTAATGATAGTAATAATAATAATAATAATAATAATAATAATAATAATAAAAATAATTATTATTATTTTTATTATTATTATTTTTTTATGGAAAATAAGAAAATAATAATTTTGTATTATTAATAATAATAATAATTATTATTTTTATTATTATTATTATTATTATTATTATTATTATTATTATTATTACAAATTATTAAAATTAAATTAAAAATTATTAAAATTTTTATTTTTTTTATTATTAATAATAATAAAAATAATAATAATTATTATTATTTTTATTATTATTATTGTTACTATTATTAAATATAAAACGGAGGTATGTTAAAAAAATTATTATTTATAATTATTATTATAATTATTATAATTTATATATTATTATATTTATTATTAATTTATTATTATTATTATTATTATTATTATTATTATTATTATTATAAATATCACCATTGTTATTATCATTATTATTTTCTATTATGACTATTGTCTTAGAGAAACTCCAACAATGAACAGAACTTCTGGATTTGAATTAAACAAAATGAACACATTTAGAGCAAGAATTAGAAAATTAGAGACTGCATAATTTTACAGCGCGCCCTTGGAAGTTCATTAAAGTAAGATTTTCGAGAAAATGAACAACAATAGGAATATTATCCAAAATGGATAACAAAAAAAAAAAAAAAAAAAAATGACAAATGATTCTTAAGGGATTATAATAAATGGTCCAAAAAAAAAAAAAATCTAGTAAAGTTCTACCTAAATAACAAATGGTCAAGAATTCATCATCAAAATAAAAAAATAAAAAAAAGAGAAAAAACTGTTATCACAATTCAAATTCAATTGTCAGCAGAAAAAACAAAAGGCAATTCGCAAAAAAAAAAAAAAAAAAAAAAAAAAAAAAATGAAATAAAAGAAAAGAAAAAAAAGAAATCGAGCGTGAAACAATTGTTAGGTCCAACATTGTAGACGAAGGAATTTCTAAAGAATCCAATATCTTCCTATTGCTACTCAAGGAATCAACGTCTCTGAAAGAGAAGCATGAGTAGCTTTCTGAGAGGGGGAAGAAGAAGAAGAAGAAGAAGAAGGTTTTTTATCACACTTTCTTTGGCGAAGCATCACACATACATATATATATATATAAATCCATCAATCCTGAAAGGCTGCGCACAGGAGCTTGAGGTGTTAAGAGAGAAAGAAAAAAAAAAAGAAACATAAAGAATACCTTAAGGAATCATTCGATTTTACCCTTCTTGTTTTGTATATTATATTCTTTTTTCAATATCCAAAATTCCATTTTACCGAATTTCAACATTATCCTAATTTTTATTTGTCCCAATTTCATATTTGTTCGAATTTCAAAATTTGTCAGAATTTTTAATTTTCCAAATTTTTGTTTGTCCGAATTTTTATTTTTCCGAATTTCTGTTTGTCCGAATTTTTATTCGACCCAATTTCAATTTTGTCCGAATTTTAAATTTACCCGAATTTTTATTTGTCCCAATTTCATATTTGTCCGAATTTCAATATTGTCAAAATTTATATTTTTCCGAATTTCTGTTTATCCGAATTTTTATTTTTCCGAATTTCTGTTTGTCCGAATTTTTATTTTTCCGAATTTCTGTTTGTCCGAATTTTTATTCGTCCCAATTTCAATTTTGTCCGAATTTTAAATTTACCCGAATTTTTATTTGTCCCAATTTCATATTTGTCCGAATTTCAAATTTGTCAAAATTTATATTTTTACGAATTTCTGTTTATCCGAATTTTTATTTTTCCGAATTTCTGTTTGTCCGAATTTTTATTTTTCCGAATTTTTATTCATCCCAATTTCAAATTTGTCCGAATTTTAAATTTATCCGAATTTCAAATTTGTCCAAATTTTTATTTTTCCGAATTTCTGTTTGTCCGAATTTTTATTTTTACGAATTTCTGTTTATCCGAATTTTAATTTTTCCGAATTTCTGTTTGTCCGAATTGTTATTTTTCCGAATTTCTGTTTGTCCGAATTTTTATTCATCCCAATTTCAAATTTGTCCAAATTTTAAATTTATCCGAATTTGAAATTTGTCCAAATTTTTATTTTTCCGAATTTCTGTTTATCCGAATTTTTATTTTTCCTAATTTCTGTTTGTCCGAATTTTTATTCGTCCCAATTTCAAATTTATCCGAATTTTTTTATTTGTCCCAATTTCATATTTGTCCGAATTTCAAATTTGTCCGAATTTTAAATTTATCCGAATTTTTATTTGTCCGAATTTCAAATTTGTCCAAATTTCTGTTTATCCGAATTTTTATTTTTCCGAATTTCTGTTTGTCCTAATTTTTATTCGTCCCAATTTCAAATTTATCCGAATTTTTATTTGTCCCAATTTCATATTTGTCCGAATTTCAAATTTGTCAGAATTTTTATTTTTCCTAATTTCTGTTTGTCCGAATTTTAAATTTATCCGACTTTTTATTTGTCCCAATTTCAAATTTGGCCGAATTTTAAATTTATCCAAATTTTTATTTGTCCCAATTTCAAATTTTTTCCGAATTTTAAAATTATCCGAATTTTTATTTGTCCCAATTTCAGATGTGTCCGAATTTGAAATTTATCCGAATTTTTATTTGTCCCAATTTTAATTTTTCTCCGAATTTCAAATATTTACAAATTTTTAATAGTGCGCATTTTAAAAAACGTCAAATTTTCATATGTCCGAAATTACAATGTCCGAATTGGGACAAATTTCAAAATTTGATGAATTGAATGTCGTATGTAAAGAAGTACAAGTCACAAATGGACCAAAAAGTGTTTTGAATGTTTAGGAAAAAAAATTTTTTTCTTAACTATATATATACACGAAGGTCATGATAATGAATCAAAAAAAAAAAAAAAAATTTCTATAAGTATCTTTTAATATGTCAAACGTTAAGTATGTGGCAAGGGAGAAATTTAACCTAATTCATCAAAAAGTACACACACATGGTAATATGTCAAATGTTCAATATTTGCCAAAAGAACCCACACAACTCTCTGTGATGCATCAAAAGCCATATATATATAGTTGATGTGAGAGGGAAATTTTGATGCTTCTGAAGGAAATTTATGGACACTAAAAGTGTATATATATATAGTGGTATAAGATAATAATTGTCACTTATTGGAGAAAATCTATACTGGTAATTTGGTGTTGGAACGGAAGAAATTTTGAAATAGATGATAACAGAATTTTAGAAGAAATAATTTTAGAATTTTTAGCAGATGAAGAATAAAATTTAGAAGAAATAGCATTAGATTTTGGAGCATTTAAACATCAGAATTTAGAAGAAATATAGCATCAGATTTTGAACCAAATAAAAATAAGAATTATAGAATTAACAGCATCAGAATTTATATAGCATATGAACAACAGAATTTAGAAGAAATAGCATCAGATTTTGGAGCAATTAAACATTAAAATTTTAAAAAAATATAGCATCCAATTTTGGTAGAAATAAAAATCAGAATTTATCAGAAGTAGCATCAGATTTTGGTACAGATAAACAATAGAATTTAGAATAAATAGCATCAGAATTTGGTACGGATGATAATCAGATTTTAGATGTAGATTTTAGATAACAGCAGAATTTAGAAGAAATATGGCATCAGATTTTGAACTAAATAAAAATAAGAATTTTAGAATTAACAGCATCAGAATTTATAGCATATATAAACAACAGAATTTAGAAGAAATAGCATCAGATTTTGAACCAAATAAAAATAAGAATTTAAGAAATTAACAGCATCAGAATTTATAGCATAAAAACAACAGAATTTAGAAGAAATAGCATCAGATTTTGAACCAAATAAAAATAAGAATTATAGAAGTAACAGCATCAGAATTTATAGCATATAAACAACAGAATTTAGAAGAAATAGCATCAGATTTTGGAGCAATTAAACATTAAAATTTAAAAGAAATATAGCATCCAATTTTGGTACAAATAAAAATCAGAATTTATCAGAAGTAGCAGCAGATTTTGGTATAGATAAAAAACAGAATTTAGAATAAATAACATTAGAATTTGGTACGGATGATAATCAGATTTTAGATGTAGATTTTAGATAACAGCAGAATTTAGAAGAAATATAGCATCAGATTTTGAACCAAATAAAAATTAGAATTTAGTACTAACAGCATCAGAAATTAAAACAGACGGTAATCAGAATTTAGAACAAATAACAACAGTATTTCGAACAAATATATCATCACTATAATTAGAAGGAAACTACATCAAAATTTGTAACCACTAACGATCTAAATTTATATATACAACAAATAATATATCGTCCGTTACAAAAGTCATCTATCATTAATAACCTAATCTATATTATCATCACAATTCATCAAAATTAAGTGAAACCTAAACTTGAAAAGAAAAACTAATTTACAAAAAAACAAAAATTAATTAAACTAATTTATAGTAATTGATTCCTATAAGAAACTATTATTTCTTTATGAGTATATCAATTTAATTATTATTTATAAATATCAATTTAAAATATTTATAAATATCAAAAAAAAAAACCACATCTTCTCGAGAACCAAAATCATCTCCGCTATATATATACTAAAACCAAAATCCCTATACTACTAAATTTTATCTAGATCGTAAAACCAAAGACCAAAATCTCTCAAGACACATCATTCGAAGTATTTAATTAAATCCGAACCGAGAAAAAAAAATTACTTTTCGAAATATTTTTGAAACAAATGAAATCTGTGGAAAAATTTAACAAAAATCAAAATCATAGTAAAAATATATGAAGAACTGGAATTTTTTCTTTTTGATTGAAAACAGAATAGCGACTGCTTCAAAAAACTCATACTTATTATTTGGAATGAAAATCAATTAATGTTATAGGAAAAAAAAATAGTGACAATAAAAATCAATTAAACCTAAACCACAAAAGAGATAGAATATATAGCTTCTGCAAGGGAATTAAGTTTTGTTAAACATCAATTTTTGCTAAAACAAAAATTTTCAGTAAAACTATGAAAATCAATCAAATTTAGTAAAACTGGCATAATTTCTTTAACGGAAATTAAATCTGTAACGAAAACTAAAAGTCGTTCTTTTAGTTATACCCAAAAAAACGAAAAATCTATTTTAAAAATCACCCAAAATCATTCGTAACGAAAATTACTAAATCCTTATAGTAAATTCTAATACAAATACTGATAGTAAATACTAATCCTAACACTAAACCCTAATAGTATATAAATCCTAATAGTATAAATCCTAATAGTATAAATCCTAATAGTATAAATCCTAATAGTATAAATTTTAATGCGAATCAGTAAATCCGAATTGTACAAATTTTAATCCGAATCATTAAATTCTCTAATCCGAAAAAACCGCACTTTCTGCAAAACCAAAAAACATCCTTCTAAATATTAATCAGTAACCAAATATCCTCAGAATTTGCCTCACAAATATCAAAAAATATTTTGATAAAATCACTCAAAAAGAAACCAAAAATGTATCACAAAAAACCATTCGTTTCAAAAATCCGCAACTAAAATTTTAAAACTTATTTTTTAACACATAAACTGTATCCGGCTGTAGGTAAAATCCACCAAAATCACTTTATCAACACAAATCCAAAAAAAACTTTTAACAATTATGTATATTCCAGAATTGGCAAACGTCACCAAAAAAAACAACTAAAATCAAGAGACAGAAAAATCATCTTCTAATCCACAATTTTTCTTGTACCCACTTTTGTCAAAAACAAATTCGTTGTTATTTCCCTTCATTATTGTGCGAAACATCATTTTTTATTTTTTTCTTATTGTTGTTGTACACCGGGCCTCCGAGGCCCGGTGCCCTGCGAAAATTCTTTTTGAAATACAATTGTGTCACACTTTTATTTATTTTTTTTCCCCTATTTTGCTTCAATATTAATTAATAATTTTCAGAGAAGAAAATTTTTCCACAAAATACACAAGTTGAAATTTTTTTTTTTTTGCAACTGTAAATCCCTTTTTTTGTGCGTTTTTTTCGAGTGGGAAAAATTTTATTTTATTTATTTTATTTATTTTTTTTTGAGTGCGCTGTTGACCAGCGACGACACTCGCCGACCGGCAGCTGTGCACGCACTGAACTGATATTGCTGCTGCTGGTCTGGTGCCACACACGAATCGAGACGTTGAGCCACCACCACCACCAACACCACCTCCTCTACCTACCATCATCATCAAGCTCGGTCGACGCTCGCGGGTCCTTTTACCTCGGCACGACTCGGTTACACCCGCGCTCGCGATACCTCGTCAGACTACGAGAAAAAAAGGGTGTCTCATAAAGAAGAAAAATTCATTCAAAATAAAAAAATTATTCAATCTTACGCATTATACGTAATACTACGTAATTTATGTAAAAAATATACTTTCCGATAACTTACGTATTTTACGTAATACTACGTAATATTACCTAAAACTTCGTAATATTACGTAAAACATCGTAATAATACGTAAAACAACGTAATACTACGTAATACTACGAGAAAAAGGGGTGACTAAAAACAAAAAGAAAAATTTACTCAAAAAAAATTAACCAATCTTACCAATTCGTAATACTACGCATTTTACGAAAATTTACATATTATACGAATTATTACGTATTTTACGCAAATTTACGTATTATACGTAATTCTATAGTTTCTGATAATTTATATATTTTACCTAAATCCACGTTTTAATCCAATTTATGTACTACAATACTACATTTCTTACGTAAATTTACGCATTACACGTAATACTACGTATTGTACGTATTACTCGTAAAACTATGCAATAATACGTAAATCTAAGAAATACTACGAAACACTACGTAATTCTACGTAACACTACGCAATTCTACGTAATACTACGTAATTCTACGTAACACCACGTAATTCTACGTAACAATATGCAATTCTACGTAGCACCACGTAATTCTACGTAACAATATGTAATTCTACGTAACAAAATATAATTCTACGTAACAATATGTAATTCTACGTAACACTACGTAATTCTATAGAACACTACGTAATTCTATAGAACACTACGTAATTCTATAGAACACTACGTAATGCTACTTAATACTACGTAATTTTACGTAACACTACGTAATGCTATATAACACTATGTTTTATACGAGAAAAGGGTTGTCTCAAAAAATAATAATAAAAAATCATTCAAAATAAAAAATTATGCAATCTTACGAGTTTATACATAATACTACGCGTTTTACGAAAATTTACATATTATACGCAGTACTACGTATTTTACGCAAATTTACGCATTATACGTAATACAACGTATTTTACGTATTATTTGTCATTTTCTACTTTCCAATAACTTATGTATTTTACGTAACGCTACGTAATACTACGTAACACTACGCAATACAACTTTCGATGACGAGAAAAAGGGGTGTCTCAAACAAAAAAAATTCATTCAGATTCAAAAATTTATATAGACTTCTCTAAAAAAAAAGAAAAAAAAATTTTATATCTTTATCTTAAAAAAAAAATTGTTTGAGGAAATTAACATTATAATCCTGAAAATAACCCCTCTAAGGGTTAATATTGCCACATTAGTCAAAATTCAAGTCACGCCCAACACATTCATTTCTAAAACCCTAATCATAATTCAGTTTAGGTACCTGCCAGTCGACCTACGTCAATGGGCGAATTAGATATGTATATGTTTACTACCGTGGATTAAATAGAGAAAATTATCTACACTAACGCAATTACCATCATTTATGGCTTTTTACATGGTTCAACGTGTTTTAAATAAATGTTGAAAAAAATAACATTTTTAAACTAAATAAATTAACAAATGTAATTTACGTATTAAGCAAAATTTTACGTATATCAATATATTTTACGCTAATTTACGTATTATACGTGATACTTACATATTATACGCAAATTTACGTAATATACGTGATTATTACGTATTTTACGCATTATTACGTATTAAACGTAATAATATGTATTTAATGTATCATACGTAATTCTATACTTTACGATTATTTACATATTATACGTAATATTATGTACGAAAATTACTCAATTTACAAAATACTACGTATTTTACGAAAGTATACATAATTCTATAGTTTACGATAATTTACGTATTATAAGCGAGACTTACGAATTATACGCAAAGTTACGTAATATACGTGAGTATTACGTATTTTACGCATTATTACGTATTAAACGTAGTAACATGTATTTAATGTATTATACGTAATTCTATACTTTACGATTATTTACGTATTATACGTAATACTACGTACTGTACGAAAATTACGCAGTTTACGCAAAATTACATAATACTACGAATTTTACGAAAGTATACATAATTCTATAGTTTACGATAATTTACGTATTATACGTAATACTACGGTTCTTATGCATTTTTACGCATTACACGTGATACTGTGAATTTTACGCAAATAACTGTATTTTATGAATAATTACGTATTTTACAAAATTATACGAAATTCTCTTTTTTTCGAAATTTTTCATATTTTTTACGTAATACTACGTACTTTATGCAACTTTACATATTTTACGTGATACTATGTATATTTAGAAAATGAATGGAATTGAAACATTTTATGTGGGGTTTTTTTTTGAGGTCGCTAATTACTAATCGAATGATTAATTTTTTTTTAAATACAAAATGGCTGATCCAATATGGCGGAAGAATGGGGTAAAAATTAATCAAATACTTGCGCAGTACCATGGGGAAACGTGTACTGCTGGGCAGTAGTTTTTTCATTTTGTATACAGTTGCGCAGTAGTATTTTCCACATTGTACAAATGCGCAAAACTATTATTATCTATATAATATTCTTATCTTTAATTTTAAAAAATACTAAAAAATGTTTAATAAGAAAAAAAAAGAAAATTTTATTATTTTCCAAAAAATTTAATTCCCACCTTGAAAAATAGAATAAATGCATAATTCTCACACTATGTGATATATATATATATATGTGTCGGTGACGCGTAAGCATTGCATCTCGGTTAAAAGCTCATACATGGAATCTGCAGCCGAATGGTCACGAGATCCTATTTATATACATATATATGTATATGTATATATATATATATATATATATATATATATATATATATATATATACGAGACGTGACAAGGTGCATGTGCGAGCGTAAACGTACGATATTGAGAAGATGGAGTGTAAAAGGGGTGAGTTGGGGGTGGGCAGAAAGGAGGAGGGGGGAGATTCAAGGGGGTGGTGCCACCGAGTGATTACTAGAGTCAGCAGTGAGTGAGGAAGGGGGGGGGAGAAGAGGGAATCCTAAATGGGGGGAAGGGGGTTCGTTATTGATCTCCACCTTCAGGATTCGCTTATTTTGACCGCCTTGTCAGCTCTTCGTAATTTTCTTTTTCAATTTCATCATCATCATTATTATTATCATCGTCATCATTATTATAATTTGTTTCTGACAATTTAATCAAAAAATTTTCATTTTTTTTTCTCTCAAAATTTATTAATAATTAATATATGAGAAATTTTCTGTTTAAAATTTTGTAATTTTTTTTTTTTTGCAATTTTACATAAGTTACGTACACATACTCGTAAGATACGTCAGCATCATGGAAAACAAAATAAAAAATGGCGGATCCAATATGGCGAACGGATTTTTAAAAAAAACTCAAAATTTTGGATTCTTAAAAAGGCAGAAAAAGTATTTAAAAAAAGTTAAAAATTTCTATATCTTCATGGTATTCACTGTCTAGGGGTTTTTTGGGTCGCTGATCACGAATCTGATGAAAGTGTTTCAAAATTCAAAATGGCGGATCCAATATGGCGGAATTTTTTTTTAAATATCAATTAAATTCGCTTGAATTTTCTTTTACAGGGTGTTTCGGGGCCGCTGATTACGAATTTGATGGTAGATTTTAAAAATTTTAAACCGCGCCTTTGAAAAAAGATAAATTAGTTATTTTCAAAAATTCAAAATTTAGATTCTTCAAATATAAAAAAAATTTCTATATCTTCATGGTACTCACTGTCTAGGGGTTTTTGGGGTCGCTGATCACGAATCTGATGTCAGATTTTAAAAATTCAAAATGGCGGATCCAATATTGTGAATTTTTTTTTTGGAATTTATCAAAATCGCCTAAATTTCGTAATCCCGAGGTTTTCGGGGACACTGACTACAAATCTGATGGTATATTTTGAAAATTCAAAACGGCGCCATTAAAAAAAGACAGTAGTTTTTTTAAAAAATTCAAATTTTGGATATTGAAAAAATAAAAAAAATTCTATTTTTTCATGGTACTCACTATCTTGGGGTTTTTGGGGTCGCTGATCACGAATCTGATGTCGGATTTTCAAAATTCAAAATAACGGGTCCAATATGGTGAATTTTTTTTTTGGAATTTATCAAAATCGCCTAAATTTCGTAATCCCGAGGTTTTCAGGGACGCTGACTACTAATCTGATGGTATATTTTCAAAATTCAAAACGGCGCCTTTAAAAAAAGAGAGTATTTTTTTTCTAAAATTCAAATTTTGGATTCTAAAAAAATAAAAAAAATTCTTTTTTTTCATGGTACTCACTAACTAGGGGTTTTTGGGGTCGCTGATCACGAATCTGATGTCAAATTTTCAAAATTCAAAATTTCGGATCCAAAAAAAGGAATTTTTTTTCAAATCAATATAAAAATTCAAAATCTACGAGAATGCAATGAAAAAGACGTAATATAAAAGGCAAAGAAATGCTTTTTTTCTTCCTCTCATGAAAATTAAAGTATGTAAAGAAAAAAAAAATAAAAAAAAAAATGTACCGGAGGCAATTTTTCACCATGACGTCTTCATACGTTTTCTTGATTATATGACATCTTTTTCTCTCCAATTTCGCAACGAGAATACAAAACGACTTCTCTTTTATATATATATATTTATAGAGAGAGAGAGAGAGAGAGTTTGCTTCGTCTCAAAATCTTATCTTATCCCATTCGGGGTTTTTCCCGGTCCATGCCTTCTGCTCGCTGCATTCATAACTCATGAGGATGTGACACATGTGATTTGTTTGCGAGAATTTGACAAACACATGAATCGCGAGGAAAGTACCATTTCCGCTTTTTTTCTCTTTTTCTCTCTC